TGAGTAGCCAGGCTTTGGCATCAATGATTAAGCCAACGTCCAGGCTGCTAATCAAATTTGGGAGATATAATAAAATAACAGCTATATCACTGAAAACACTTGAATATCATGGCCAGAGCTTTCCTACTGGTAAATTTGTATATTCAGGATGAGTCAGCCCAAGGTTTTTAAATAGAGAGTTAGAAAACAAAGTATAAATACTAAAATTAGATTCTGCATTGAAAGAACTAACGAATATGAGTATGAGAATATGGATAAGAGTGATTTTACAAAGCTGTGAAGGAAATTTAATAAATAATTGAAAATCAATACTTGCTTAAAGTAAGTACAAAAAGGTCTCTAGAAGACTAAGTTGGGATAATTTATTTATTAAACAATTTCTGTAGCAAAACTTTAATTTCAGGTTATTTTTATTCTTTCACTTGATTCTGTAATTTTCAGTCTTAACTGTTCCAATGAGTTCACTGGGATCATTCTGTTTAAAAATTAGAATAAGCAAAACATTACTTTAAAAGTATGTCTTCTGAAGTATTTCTATTATCTACTTATTTATAATATTTGCTCTTCCCCTTTACTAATGGAGTTTATTGATCAAATGCTAACTATAGTGCTTTATAGAAAATAAAACACTGGACAAAGGAGAGTACTTTGCAAAGTTTGTAAAATAATGGAATTAAGGAATGTTATTTTGGTGCAAAAATTTTTGAAATCCACATAGTTTTTTAAATAATACACATTTTCCATGAACTTTTGGAAGAACCCTTTTTTATATCCAGAATCAGAGACTAGATTTATCTTTTTAACTGACTAGGGTGTTTACAAACAAAATTGCAACCAATCTCGATCTGTTTCCTTGCCAACAAAATGAAGATAAGACATAAACTCTATAGTTTCTGTGAACATTTTCCAAGTGAACTATTGGGTCATTGGGAAAATCATGACACAGTTTTGCACAGAAAAAGACATCATGTCTTCCCAACAACCTAATAGATAAAGCCAGTAACAATTCTGATCCTTTGTGAAGTACTTGTGGAAAAGGGCATGGTTAACATTCAGATACAGTCTAGTCAAATTTCAATCTCATGTTGAAAGAGATTACATTTGGAAGTAGTGAATCAGCAGTGTGAAAGGGTGGTCAAGGAGAACAGATAGCAAATGGCAACACATACTTCTAGGGAAGTGAGAGGAAAGAGAGATCAACCTGGAGAAACAAAGATGAGGAGGGAAGAGAGAAAGGATTCAGAAATACAAGTGTATTTACATGATCTCAAAAGACCAAGGAAGAAGGAAAAAATAAAAAAGAAAAAGAAGAAATTAGGGCCTCTCTGTCCTTGGACGAGGATTACAACTTCCAAGTAAGCTTCCACATTTACCATTTACTCTAAAAGCCAAATGCTCTGGGTCACCCATTCCTACTTTTGAATGAGGAATATTAGAGCGGGAGACCGCTCCTTAAATTATGTAAATGGTATTGGCCAACATCTTTTAAGCTTTTAGGTCCACCAAGTGAGAACCAATACTTGGGCTGAGGACATTGACATAGCACGGACTATCTTCCCATTCCCTCTGTTCAAGTCTCCTTTCCTATGAAGGAATTTTGCTAAGCACTCCCAGTGAAGACAAGTGATTCTGATCCCCACTGCATCTGTTCAGGGTAAAGAACACAGGGTGAATTTCTCTTTAGTCAGAGGCTTACCCAAGGCCCAGTACAGCCCAACACACGTACTTTTTTTTATCCCCCCTACCTTTCGTGGGTCCTGGAACACTTAAAAATCTTGCTTCTTCACAGACATTCCAGCTGAATGATCTCGTTGAATGATGAGGGTCATAGAGTTCTTCTAAGGGTAACAACAACTCAATACCAATATGGGCAATATCTATTTCTGTTTTGAGGATTTTGTCCTTTGTCTGACAAATTTCAAGTGAGAAGCATTTGGTCTGATCCAAGACATAGTACAGGGTTATACAGAAATAGTAAGAAGAAAAAGACTAATACATTTATTTTTCACGGATGAGGCATATATTTATTTTTCATGATTTCTTCCCACCTGGTACACTTTTTAATATGAGATTATGGATGTCCAAATCACTTTGTCTTCTTTTTCAGTCTCTCCAGTTTGCCTGTTTGGCTACTTTGGAAGCACATCATTCAGGTATTAGGCCATGTAAGAAAAAAATCAGCAAAATTCAAATTCACCAGTTATCTTTGTTGGAACCTCTACTGAGAATTTTTCAAAAATCACACTGGGAATTTTCAGTAGCACTATTAATAAAAAATAGGGCTTTGGTGGAATTTGATGGGTCCATCTTGGAAGTCTCTAACAGTAGTTGATACAGTTGCTAACATGCTAAATAAAAACTTTCACCATGCAGTTCACACTCCAAGAACGAACCTTCTTGCTTAAGCATATTGATTAACAGCTTGCAACCACATCAAGATTTCTATTAATTATCATTTCTCTGACCCTGTTGGAACAGAAGAGTCAAGAACATATGGTGCATTTTTTTTTTTTTTTAAATCTTTCAGGAGGCCAGCAGGTGGCATGGTGGTTAAGGAACTGCACTCCCAAATGGTTGACCACTGTTCGTGAGTCCCGGACCTGGAGGTTTGTTTTCTCACTTTCCCTCTCTGGTGAGCACATGAGCCCTATAGTAGAAATAAATGATACATAAAATTGAAGTATATGATTTTTTTAAAAAAAATCTTTCATTTGGCTCTTGATACCATGAACCAGAACTAGTTATTTTTTGCTGATTTTGAAGGGTTCTTTCATAATAAATTTAATATTAGAGAGTAATTTGGTAAGTTCATCCTCTTTTTGCTTTATTTCCTTGTTTGTATCCCTTCTCCCAAATTAGGTTAGTCTTTTAAATTAGGAGACAGTTAATAAGTAAAATTTCATTTGTATCTGTCGTATTTTCTTTTTTTATCCTGTGTGACATGTGAAAGTGAAGCTGTTGACGAATGTTGATAAATATTTAAGAAACTGTGTAAATACCTATCAATGAGGAACAACTCCAAATAGCTATCTCAAATGTGATGGGGGGGCTTTACACTGGCTTAGGAGATGAGCAGATACCTACAGCTCAGTGAAATGAGTTTGTTTGTTATAACATGCCTTTACATTTCTGGATAGAAAGATGTCTGAAAATGAACAAACTTCTCATAGCTAAAAACCTGTATCTGTAAAAGCTGAGAAATGAGACGTTTGTGATTCACATGTGTAGCACAACGAGAACTGGAACCAAATTTTTCCAAAGTGATTGAACAATTTCTATTAGTTAATCCTTCCTTTTATCTTGGTCTGACTTAAAAAAAATGTTATTGGGTTGTTGGGAAAGTCCTGATGCATTTTTGCACAGAAAATCGTAGAAAAATATGTCACGACTTTCCCGACTAAGTTTCTAATGTGGTTATTGGCCATTACTGGGGGCATTTGTGTAATTTGCCAGGCATGTGGTGCAATTGGAGTTTCTTTCCTCAGAACTCACATTTTTCTTCTCTAAAAAGGGGATAGGTTCTGATGTATATTCCTCTTAGATTTGTATTTCAAGTAAACTAAGACTTGTATGGAAACTCTCTGCAGGGCATAGATGTCTCCTTAACAAGTCATGAAATACTGTTTTCAGCTGTGGTGGACTGCACAGTAAGGCTGGAGAATGAATAATGATGGAGGTGGAGATGGCTGAGATCACATGTCTCCAAATCTCTGGGACAGGAATTGTGACACACATACCATGGTAATAACTTGAATGAGTCTGGTACTACTCAACAGTTAAGTCTTCTGTATTTGGAAGATGGGTCTGCATACAGAGTATTCACCAGAAAGTTTTTATTGGAAACTTTTCATGTCAGAAGTTTATTTTATTGGTAAAATATTAAATAATATACAGAATTAAAAACTGCACTTACACTTCTGAGAAGAAATAAATCTTGGACAAATTATATGCTTGTTCCTGAGATTCCCTAAGTTTATTCCAGTAGCTGTGCACTCGGACAGTACAAACCTTTATAATATAATCCTTTTCACAAAGTATTACAAAGTTTCTGCAGCTTCTTTAGTTGTACACACATACAGACACACACTCACACATGCAGATACAACACTCATACACATATACACAGTACCCACATACATGCATAAGACATGTATGTGTGTGCATTAAAAACAAAGAAAATACAAGTCCCACATTTTAGTCTGCAGTGATAAAACCGTTCAGTGGAGGTCTCCAAATCAGTATATAGCAGAGTGACTTGTTACACAGCTGCAAAGACTTTCTCAGTATTTCCATAGTAAACCTCATTTTCTGAGGTATAGTATTTGAGCCTTAAAAAACTACATTACACTGAGCAAACCTGACATACAAGGTTGAGAATTTTAACTTTACATATATATGTATATATATATTTCCTTTTTAGACAATAGTTTTTATTTTCCCAAATTAGTTTGAAAAAAAAAATGAGGTTTACTGGTTTGACCTATTTTTTTTGTTTTTTTTTTTGCTTCTAAAACTCAAAATATTCTAGAAACTGTCAAGCAATTAGTCTTTAAAATAGTCTAATTACCTTTGGTATTGTTAAAGAAAAATATCTAAAATGGCCAAGACATATACTGTACAAATGCAGTATCTGCCTTTAAAAGAAATGCCAAATAAATGTTATCTTTTAACAAAACATGTATTTACATCACAGCAGTTTAGCTACAGGGATACAGGTATAAAAAAAGAAAACCAGCACACTACATATATGTAGATATAATACGAAAACTGTTCAGTCTTAAATTTCTATGAAAACTGAACTACTCCAAATATTTTTAAAAAATTTTCTCCAATAGGTGATATGTTTTTAAAATTGAGCTAAGTGCTGTGTTTTTATTTTAAAGTTCATTTCCAAAAATAGAGAACTGAAATACAACTATTAAATATTAGGTTCTTAATTAACAGCATTGGGTAAGGTTATAAGAAGAAAATTCAATCTAAGAATTTCAACTTTGGGAAACACTTCTCAAGCAAAAGATTGCTCATTTCAGTAAAATGAGGCTAAAAATGTAGGCTAAATAACGATATCATGAGATTAGACCAGTGGTTTTCACAGTCTAATGTTTTGATTATGGAGTGGTTTTTCTCTCTGCTCGTTGTATCTTTTAATATATTATGATTTTCAATGGTTTCTTTTTGTCATTATATAAAAAAGAGAATATGTCAAAAAAAGAAAAAAAACACCGTAGTTTTTAAGACTTCAAGGGGAGTATTGCACTTGTACAGAAAAAAAAAAACAGTAATATCTTTCAAGCTAAGTAGCAGAAGCAATCATTCTGAGATTGCAAATAACACATGGTCTAAAAGGTCTAACTATTTAGAGTAAATCTGGGGCCTAGAGACCCCCTCCAAACCTGGAATATTATTACAGTAATGTTAAAGCATTTTTTTTCCCAATAGGGAGAAAATTAAGACTCTCTGCTTTACATTTTTAACATCTTACTAAATACCTGCAAAAATCTGTCTAGTCTCTCATGATACACATTTTTGAAGGAAAGCCAAATTAGAATATAAAACCCATCAAAAAAAGAAGGCAAACATACCATAACATGATTACACAATCTCTGGAGTCATATTTTATATATCCAATATTTAAAAGTGAAAGTAACACGAGGGTTATATAGTTTACTATTTTTAATCCAACCACGTTTCAATATAAAACTACACTTGAGTATAAAAATATGTCAGCAGATTACACAGCCAACAAAAATCACAAACAAAAAAATTAAGACTTAAGAGACCAATGAATTCAAAGTAAGAAACGACCTAATCATCAAACTAGTAGGGGACAAGAGGGGCAAAGACAACCAGAGACGATGATGGAAAGAAGACGAACAGAAAGTACAGAGGTGTGTGTGCAGGGGGTGTGAACGGGGAGGAGAGGTTTATAAAATTTAAGAAGAGATAACAAATAGAACTTTGTTACACAGAGGGAAACTGATTTATGTTCAAAATCTGAGTGCTTGACAGTCAATTTTTTTCATCACAGTTTCAGAATTTGAACGACTTAAAAAAAAAAAACAATAAAAACAACTCAGATCTCTTCCCTTGATACAGTGTATTCATCTTTTTAAAAAAAATCAATTTCCAGTAAATTAAATGAAGTAAAATCCTGGTAAGTGCATAGTAGGGGATTCAGTGACCTCCACCCATTCAACCACCTTTTTTTTTTTTTTTTTTAACTGTATCACTTGAGGTAATGTGAAGGCCCAATTCACTGCAAATTTGCTTACTAGTACCTACTTGAAGTTATATGCCGTACTTTATGTGGCTTAGCAGAGGGCCCCTTAATTTTATATTTCATTCACAATAAAAAGGACATCTTAGAAAACTAGTCATTTATGTACCACTCTCCGTAAGGGATAAAGGTTAATTCACTACGAAGTTACACAGAAAATATACAAATGCCATGTTATGGGAGAAAGAAACCCATTGACAGAATTATGAACTTATTCTAAGAGTGCATGTGAAAAATATTCACAAACTTACAGTACAGCAAGATAAAACTAAAAAGCTAGAAATAGAATGTTACATAAAAACCTTATGGAAATCCCAAAATTGTAGGTTTCTGCAATAAATGTAAAAATAGTCAAGGTGTCATTATTTGGCCTGGGCAATACACTATGATAAAAAGGACACTAGCATATCACAGCTTCTTGGTCATTGACATTTGCTTTGTATAACCAGCAGCTCATTTTTTTTTTTTAAAGCTGTCATATCCTAACACATCCATTGCAAGTAATACACAACCATGGTATGGAACCATTAGAGATCATGCTTTAGAGAACAGCAATGAGATATGACTGTTCACTTGTTTTGTTCAAGGAGAATTAATTATCTGCTTTTTTCTTCTATAAAACCTTAACAGATTAGAAGACAGAAGTTTGAAGACTAGAATAACACTAGTCTGGAGATGAAAATCCAAAACAATACTGTATTTTATTGACCAAAAATCCCACTAATAAGTCCTTGTGTGAGACAGAACTTATTCATCCTTAAAAACAAAACAAAAACACATTCAATCCTCAGCTAAAACCAATCTACCTTATGTTTTACCTGCATAATCTTATAATGGTATTCAGAAATACTATCAAACTAAAAAATTTAAAATCAGGTGTCTTTTTACTTTTAACAACTGAGCTGAAAGTTTTTGTTTTGGAAATTGCTTGAACAGTTTTGCTCTAAGAACACAGAAATGAGTTCCTTAGTACTTAAGTTTAAGTGATTTTTAAAAATACATAATAAAAGTGTCGTGGAGCTACAGTAGCTAACCAACACTCTCAATGCATTTTAAAAAGGCACCAATATAAAAAAAAAGTAAGTATTTAATACATTAAATTCAGAATTTTAAGAGACCAGTTACTGTATATTTTAATTATTTTGCAGAAACTGGAGGATTAAAATATTACCAAGTTAGCTTTCATATATACACACTTCAATTTCACCCCCCACCACATATAAACTTTTTTTTTTCCTTCTGGATTTGGGGATTTTCTGTTTTACAATAGTCTTCATCTAGATAGTACTTGTTAAATATATAAAATGTAATGAAGATGAACAAAAATATAACTTATCCCTTTTGGTAAAATGAACAATCCAAAGTCAAAAAAAAAAAAAGATGTAGCTAGTACCTCTTACACTCTAAGTTCTGTTTTGAAACACAGGCATACAGTTTTTGTTTGTATTCTTGCAGCCATTTCTGCCTTTTTCTACTCTAAAAATCATTTTGGAGACAGGGTGAAATATGATTTGGAAAATATTAAAACATAATTTTCATCTAAATGCCTTCTCTGGTGTAACTTTAAACATTTATAAAATACCATAAAGACTTCATGGTTTGTGAAGTGTACAACAGAGACACAAAAACTACAAATAAAAAAATACTTATTAAGCGCACTAAAATACTCTTATCATTTCTATTTGTCAACAAATAAGGCTGATAATTCTGCTTTTCGGTATTTTCTTCCTATCAAAAAGGAGATTGTATTTCTTTAAATTTACATCAAGTCAGCTTAAAGTCTTTTTTTTTTTTCCATCATTCGTTCCATTTTGTTCTGGAAAGAGATAATAAACACCCAGGGTTTAGTTTTAATAGTTGCTGCTAGGCCTAAAGACACACTTGTAACTGTAGCATTTCTTAATACCATCTGGTAAAGTAAATCCTCCTAATTGCTCAGGCATTAACTATAATTTTAACTATATGTTCTTATACCACATACCCTAATTGCTTCTTTTCATAAATTTTCTTTAAAACAATGTGTGTGATACACACGTACATATGCACTATGATTCATACATACAATTGCCGGTATGTATGTAGGAGAAACACTTCCTACTTTGTAGTCAGATCTAAATCCTTATCTCTCATCCTCTCATCCTCCAGAAGATTCTTAACGGAATGTTTCAAAAACTCGAAATCTTTTCCAATCTGCCCACTGGTCACTTTAACTGTCTTAAAAAGCCTGATTAGAATGGCTTTTTCAACATGATTCATCACTATTAGGGAGAGGCTGCACATTTCTTCAGTAACCGCTATAGACAAAATTCTGTAAAATTAGGGCAAAACAATGTGATAAATTTCTGATTTTTTGCCAAATTGGAATATACAGAGGATAACCCATTTTCATGCCCTGCAAATACTTCCTGCAATGTAAAATCTCGCCTAAATAAACTGCATGCAACTGTTATGTAAAACTTGATTTGGTGCCTGACCCTCATGTTTATTTTTAGGTACTACCACCTTGCATCTCTCCTTTTGTGAAGAAGAGGCATGCAAATAGAGCCTTCTAGAGTTTCTCAGAAAGCACTATGTCTACAAAAATTCCTTCTAACCTACAAATTTGAATAGACCTTGTCCTCATTTATCCTTGCCACACCCTAGCCATTTCCACTTCTTTCTGTTCCTTGTATCATGAAGCTAAGAAAATACAAGTGCATACTTGTATCAAATATACTCTCACAACTGTTAACTCTCTTCAAAAAAATAGATTCCCATAAAGAGCAAGCAGAAAAAGAGAGTGCATGAGTACTATCTTCTTAGGGAATTACATAATTCTTTAGGTCCACCCAAATCCACTTTCATCACAGGGCAGGTAGCTACATGATTGTTCATATACTGGAATAAAAAAGAAAAGAAGAAAAAAAGAAAAGAACAGGAAGCAGGAAGAAAATTCACAGATGATACCAGGAGAAATTCACAACCAACCAAAATTATAACCATAACGACATCCAACATTTTCCTGAAATTGCAGTAAAACACTAAATCGTGGATCTGAAAATTATTTACTTCATCCAACAGGAAAATAAATGGCATTCCAAATTACTATTTGGGAGTGATTTGGGTAGATGGAGGTGAAGGAGTCTTAAAGACATGCTTTACCCCTCAGTAAATTGTATACATGATCACAATGTACCAGGGCATGCACGAAAAAAAAAAAAAAAACGCCCAACGGTTGACATTCCACACATGTATTTTGTTGCATTCTCTTAGGTTTAAAGAAACAGTTGAGACATTTCTCCAAAAATAATTATGATGGGGATTAATACAAGAGAGCTGAGTTTAACCACCACCACCCCATGTTCTAGCTGTGTTAGTGCTTAGAAGTTGCTTAAGTAAGCAAATGGTAAATTAGAAAATGAGTTGAAGAGCTAGGTACTGGGGCCAGAGCTGCTTATCTGTCCACAGTTCTCTGTCTCGGTAATTCTCACATCACACTATATTAAGAAACAGTTTCAGATCCTAGTTGAGGGTCTTTTAGAGCAGTTTATCAGTTACTGCTTAATAGGATTTCAGTATTCACAGATGTTTATCAGATAATCCAGTTCAGTCAGGCCATCCTCCCCAAACAAAAGCAAGTGCATTCCCCAAAATGACTTGAATGAGTATCACTCGGTTCTGCCTCTCTAATGCTGTTGGATTGCAAAGAAAAATCAGCACCTGTATCAATGAAATTGAAATCTGCACAGGAAAATGGCAACGTATGTCATATATCGATTAAAAGAATAGACATTCTATATGAAGAGATTGATACTCATTTCTGACAAGGATTTACAGAGTTGAATGACTCTGAAACAGAAAGATGGGCAGGACCTTAACTCGGAGGTTCTGTCGTATTCTAGACTCCAGGAAGAATAAAGTAAACTTTGATTTTTGTTTTTGTATCATCTGCAGTACAATGTACAGGTTAAAAAGAAGTTCCCTTTTTTTTTTTTTTTTCAGCAAAAGTGGTAAAAATCATTACTGAAGAAATACTAGAAAAAATAGCCCTAGTTGATAACCTTCCAGGGTTCAAGTTACCACATTCTGGTCAAATTAACAGTTGCTCTGAGGATTCTTTGAATGAAATAGCCTATAGCAAGACTTTAAAAGACCTTCTACTCAAAGAGTAAAATACAAATGGACTATAGACAGAACACTGGGTGGTCACAGCTTGAAAAAAATCAGTGAAAAAAGAGAAATACCAGAAAAGAGATTTGTGAGTTTTTTTTTTTCCTCCTACTGTGAGCCTAATTATATTTTTCTGCTGACTCGTTAACACTGATTAAATGCTGATAAAGTGACAATCGTAAGCATACTTTTAGAAACATATGTGTATACTATGCTGCCATCACATTACGACTTTTAAAAGAAAATGTCCCAAACAAATTAAAGTAGGAGTCTCTCCCAGTAATTACTGACTGCCTCTTATCCACTCTTAGACCATATGTTATTCTGAAAACCATATAAAATAACTATTTGTTAAAGGTGTTCAAAGTAAGGCTGCCAGGGTGTCTACAAAATGCCAGTCATCAAAACTATGGAAAAACAGTGCTTAAAAGTTTAGAAAAATAAGATTATAGGACCTCAGGTGTATTGTAGGTGGTCCTTGACTACCTGTAGTTCAAAAGCTTTGCTCTATGGTACAGTGTAAAACGTACTTAATTATAAATTCCATAGGGGAAGTAAACATAGAATCCACAACAACTCAGCTCATCCTAGGAGTTATCACTGAAAATAACATGTGTTTGTGTTCCGTGATCTCTAAAGAAGGGAAAAAAAAAAAAAAAACCTGGTTTACATTTTGAAACAAATTCTTCTTTCAAGAATAAAATTACTTACACATTTAAAACTGCCAAAGTAGTACCCAGAAAACTGAATTTTCCTGCCTTCAATCACAATCCTGAATATCAGTGGCAAAGTAGAATCTTTTAGGTGACTCTACACAGATCAAATGATTTTCCAAGAAACAAACTCTCTTAAATTCTCACAAAATAAACAAGCCAATTTATCAAGAAACAATATCCCCATCCCTTCTCTTCTGTATTTTCCTTACTGTAATTAGGCAGAACAAATGACACTGCGTCCACAAAATAAGAATTATTGACAGTAATAATATTAAAAAAAAGGTATGTCAAGATCTGACGGATGGTGGGATTGTAAGTGCAGTATTTCTTCATGTGCAGTTCGTTACTTCATAGGGGTCCCCTTTGGAATGAAAAGGCCTAGTGGAATGTGTGCTCCCCTCGAACAATGTGTGATGAAAACTCGTAACGGTCCTGGCTTCTATAGCCACAGATGTTGCATTCCAGTGGGTCCCGGTAGCCATGACAACCCATGTGAATGGTGTACATGACATGGTCTAGGAAAAGGACACGGCAGTGCTCACATTTGAAGGCCCTAATTTGTTCTCCTTCTCCATTGAAGACCTTGTAGATGTCCTTCAGAGAGCCCTTAGGAGCCTTGGTAGTATCCAAAGCCTTTACATCCTCCTTCATGTAAGCTGGGCTTTGTTTCCTCTTGGGATTTAAGGCAGGGTTTCCTTGGTAGGACTGGTGGTCATCATGGCTGCTTTCTGAGTCAGTAGAATCCAGGCAGCTATTGCTGGGAGAGGCCTCTCTTTCCTGGGGTCGACTCTTTGGTCTGATGAGAGAGATAGGGCCATCCATGTTGTTTTCATGACTATCAGAGGTTTCCCTGCTAATGGGTCTTTCTATCCTATTTGGATGATAGACCTGAGAATAAGCTGAGCTTATAACTGGGGCCACCTCAGCGATTGTGCTTGGCGGGTGCTGCATCAGAGGGTGAAGGGCCTCAGCTCCAAGGTAGGTGATTGCATTGTTGATGGCTTGGTCCATCATGTGAGACTGCATCAGCTCAGCCTCCTTCTCATATGTTAAGTTCATATCAAAGTGAATATCTGGGTAGCTGAATCGCATGAGCTTTTCCCCTGAAAGAGAAAGGGGGGGAGGGCAAGGGTGGGGAGAACAGAAACAGAATACAACACAATTAGCATTTGGATTAAAAATAAAAAAGAACACAAAGCTGCTAGATCACCTCCATTTTCAAAATATGGCATATCTCAGTTTCTAAATCAATTATTTGGGCCAAGATAAACTACCTCACTGTTATGTAAGTTTAATTTGGTTGATTTAAGAGCTGTTTCAGAAACAAAAAATACAGATTCAATATATGTTATTCTGGAGAATTCAGAAAAGTCATTATTTATGATACTTTTAAAAGTTCTATCATCCGATAAATACAATTTAGGACAATTTAAAAAATAACATTAGGAGTTATTTCCAAAATGTTCCTACTCATAAACTTAGAAAATTTTCTTTCTTTTTTCCCCCTACTTCTTGAAATTCATAAGTATTCAATTCTATATCATCTCTCTCTCATTCTAGCATGCATGTGATGGTGCTGATAACCACGATTAGCTCTCCATACTTTTTCTGGACTAAAGTATGTTTTTAGCTTTTCCTTTAGTATTTACTCAACAAATACAATTTTACTTGAACATAATGTCTGAACATTAACTACACAAGAGTACTAGAGATTAAAACAGAAATACAGTTGAAAATTTTCTCCAAATATTATCAATTTTGAACAGAATATTTCATCTTTTAAAACGCTGGCCACTAAAACAATGCGGATTCTATTTACCTAATTTGATAGGCAAATCTTATGGATATATGTGGTCTTCTTTTTAATGTCTCGTATGTTGTTGCGAATGGATACCTAACTTGAAATGTTGATTCACAGAACTGCATTGTGGAAAACTACATTCAAGTAGTCGGTATTATTTCAAATTTGAATAAATGACCCTAATGACCGAAATAATAAAAATGACAAGGAATTATCACATAGCATTCAATTGCAGATATTGGTAATGTCAAGTATTTCAAAGATAAGCTAGACACACCTGATCTAATTCTCAAAGACTTTAAAGTTTAGAGGAAAAGAGCAATTTGAGGATCATTTATAACACTGTGTGATATGTGTTAAGGGTCAATTAAGAAGGATTTTTAACTCACATGAGGGGAATAAAGGAAGATTTCTTGAAGGAAATAGAATTAGGGGTAAGGATGTAATTAATAGTAAACATTAGCCAAATAAAGACACATAGGGTAAAGCAGCTGTTAGAAAGGCTCGGAGGTAAGGGACATGCCTCAAAAATAAGCAATTACTTACTCTTCAATATAGCCGAGAGTAGAAACAGATGAGAAACACAAGCTAGATAATATAGGGCTCATTCAACAGCTAAGGAATTGGGATTTTATCCTGAGAACGGTAAGAACAGAATGAGATTGAACAGGTAGGAGGCCTGACTAGATATTCATTTAACAAGTGGGTTTGGAAAGTTGCTGCTACAGAGATTACGGTGGCTAAACAAGTGTAGTGGCAGTAGAAATAGAGAAGACAGTTGCTAGGGCTATGTGATAACTAGACATAGAGAATGAGAGAAAAGCATGAAGCACAGGTTTCAGGCCTGGGAAATTTAGTGGATGACAATGAGATAGAAAAGATGATGAATTCAGTTTGGGGAAGAGTATGAGTAATAGTCATGTCCAGTAAGTACTTAGATATAGTATCAAACCCAGGAGAGAGATGTGGGCTTGAGTTGTAGATATGAGAGACATCAGTTGATAAAACACAACTTCTGAAGTCATGGGAATAGATGGTATCACCCAGGCATAGGTAAGTGTGGAGAGGGTAATAAATATGACCTAGAAGAATATCAAGATTTTTATGAATATTTATAAACCAGACAAGTGGGATTCTTATAGGAGACCCCATATTTAAAGAACGCTTGAACTTGCTCCTCATAATGATGATTTTGTAGGGCCAAAGAAATGTTTTAATCTGGACCTTTTGTGCCAGACCATCCTTCTGGGTACCCGAAAATCCCTTACCCAAATGACGTGGCTTTGGGTCTGTTTCTAAGCTGGGTGTGCTCGCTGGAGCGACAGAGTCAGAGAAACAAAGTGAGAAATCATTCTCAGAAGGGATGGCCACGCTGGAATCCCTTCTCCATTCTCCTCTTGGGATCTTGGGCATGCACACACATGCACCCAAAGTGAGTTTGAAGCTACCAGGTCCTGGACACGAACCACAGCCAACTACGTGGGAGTCCAATGATGTAACCATTACTTCATATGCTGGTCCTGAAGACACTATTCTTTAAGTGCTATGTGTTGGCTGCAGTATAGAAAGCACTTGGATATACAGGCTGGACGGCCTCACCTGTGTGTTTGAGGCCTCTTTTGGTAATGGACAGAACCGGGGGTTGTCTAAGAGAGACCTCACTGTAAGCCAAGGGGTGGTTCTGCTCACATGGTTAAGGGCCCCTGTAAAGCTCCAAGAAATCTGAGAACCCCGTATTTACTTGATTTTAGGTTTTCCAAGTTAGGAGGGCAGAATCTAATACTGTTCAGCTTGATTTATAAGGTAAAAATATTGAGACATACGGATGGGAATCTCTACTAGAACTCTGGCCATTAACATAGCTGCTAGGACTAAGTCCATAAAGAAGGCTATGTTGGAGCTGTCTGAGAAGCTCAGAAAATGCAAGAGAGGTCAGTACGATAAAAGCCAAAGTAAGAGTTTATTTGGAAAGGAATTGTCTATTCAGTATTGTCTAGTATTATACAACTCCTAGAGTTGTATAAGATCAATCTAACAGGAATCCACCAGATTTGGCACTATGGAAGCTAGTAGTGACCCTGATGCAAATAATTTCAGTGGCGTATGGGGAAAAGAAGCCAGGTTGCATGAACTGGGAAATAAGAAAGAAAGTAACTGTGCACAGTAAGCAGAGAATTCTTTCAACAATTCTGTCTTTGAAGAGGAGGAGCATACAGGTGGTAGAAAGAAACTTGGGCTTAAGGGAAGCTTTTACTCTTATAAGAATACTTGCTTACAGGAAAATGGCAATGGAGGGTAGAGTTGAAAAATAGTAAGTGAGGAGGCAGCAGGTGGTGTAGGGGTTAAGGCTCTGAACTCCCATGTGACCAACTGTGGTTCAAGTCCAAGAGGAAAAGTAATCATGTGAGGTATTTTAAGGCCCTGGATAGAAGTCTAGGGCACAAGAAAAGTAATTAACCTTAATAAATAGGAGATATACTGCTTTTGTTGGAATAAAGAAAAAAGAAGAAAGTGTTTGTGTGGCTGCACATAATCCTAAAGGACCTGTGATATTACTGAAATCATTTCAACTGATTTTACTCTCTGTGCATACATTAATAGATAAAACGATCACCAAAGAGTGAGACACTACATTTGCAGAATAGAGACTTGGCTGAAACGACCCTGGTGGAGAGTTAGGAGAGAAGCAAGTTCAAGGATGAATTCAAGGAGTGCTGCTACATTTACGGGTGTGCTATTGAGTTTTGCAATAAGATATTCATTTATCTACAGCTGACACCATTTCATAAGGCTGTGGAATTTTCTCCCAAAGTACCAATAGCCTAGATGTAACTATGGAAAAGGCCCTCAGACTGCTTCATGAGAGTGTGGCTTTACCAGAAAAAGGTGATAGGACAAGACAAGAAGAACAGGAGAATTGGCAAGAGGCTGACAAAGTGATGAAGCATGGACCCTCAGCTGGATAAACGAAGAAGAAGATAAGCAGAGTTCAGGGATCATTGGCCTAGAGAGATGGATAAGGTCAAAAAATAGTATTTAACTGAGTAACAGAGTGATATGGAATTTATGGTGAATGTGGAATGACTGAATTTTTTTTTTTTCATTTCAATACCAATCATCGAAATAGTTACCATAGCTACTGCTTGTTATATATTACTGGAAAAGAATCCAAGTAAAGGAAAAAATAGCCCCAAAATTTTAATAAAAATGTCACTATTTTAGAATCTTACTTTAATTTTCTAAAAATCTGTTCCTTTTTTCTAAGGAATGTAATCAAGTCAAGAGTAGCATCTCTAGGTGATAGGAATGTGGCAAAACCATTATGAAAAGCAGACTATATGAATTCAGAAGGCAGAAATAAATTATGAAAAAATTTCGTATTTTTCCAACTATACTCGTATCTGATTAGATATAAGCATTTAATGATATACATCAAACTGGTCTTTTTTTTTTTTTGGAGAGGTTTTTGCTCTAGGGTGCATGCACTCGCCAGAAAGACAGAGAGAGACAGAGAGACAGAAAGTGAGAAATCACCCTCTGGGGGGATGGCTATGCCGCAATCCCTTCTCCTCCATTCACCTCTCAGGATCTTTGGCACCCACGCACACATGTCTGGTGTGAGTTTAAGTCACCAGGTCTGGGACTCGAGCTACGATCAACTACATGGGAGTCCAGAGACATAGCCAACTGCTGTTCCCCAAACCAATTTAAAAAATAAATAAACTGGCCTTACTGATAAAACCCTCTGGTTAGTCTTAAGAGTGATAATTTGGTCACTTGTTAGTTATTTGATTTTTAGACTGAAAGGAATTCTTCTCTAAGTGTTCACTGGAGTAAATAGGATTTTATCACCCTTTCCTCCTGACATAAGCAAAGAAAAGATATTCTCTGAGTCACTACTCCACTCCATCACAATGTCCCACAGTGTTCTCTGATATTTGAATGTTTGCATATTTTAATCCTATATTAAGTCTATAATAATAGATACATATACAACGAATGATAATTCTTTAACAATTCTTTCTATTGAATCTCTGTTATTCACATATTCCTTAAAAAAAAAGATGTTTTTAGTGTCCTTGGAGACACTTGATGACTTACAGCCTGCACTCAGAATCATACCAACACTGGATATATTAAAGAACATCTAATGGTTTAGAAATGAAATAGGAAAAGTCTAAATATGGTATTTGATATTTTCAGTTCAAAATCATAAGGTATATGTAAAAACAAAGATCAAAATATAAAACAGATCCAAACACGAAACATTTTGAATTTAGGTTTTGCATTATTTCTCTAATGTGGAATTATGAAAAAAATAAAATAAAATTTCTCTTCTATTTAGATTGAATACTAAAAGAACTAATGTAATATTAAAAAACAACAACAACAACAAGAGCTAAAAATCTGGCCCTGATGCAAATTTAAAACCAGATTATAAATCTGGCCAATAGACTAGATCATGTATTTGATCTATTATTGTTCTTAAAATAAATTAGCATTTTATACTTATATGCTATTTCACTTTATATACATTTTGAGATGGTGACTTAGAAATATCAGTCTTTTATTTCTCTTTATGTCCATATGCCTAAGAGTGTGTGTGTTAGTGTGCTGCACAAGTGTCACAGAGTAGAAGAAAAGAATAATGAACAAAAGCGATGAGAACTGAAATATACCATATATATGTCTAAGACATGGGAACTTGTCTTCTCCCAATAGAATCACCTTGTAAAGAAGTAAAAGTATGTGTAATGCTTACCCACAAACTTTTGTGGAGTGGAGCTTTTACGTTTTCCCATATTCCCCGTGAGCTTCTCTATGACAGCAGGTCTCTCAAAAGGCACCAGAGAAATATTGTTGTCCATAATAGGCTCTTGTTCCTTACAATCTTCCATAGGAGGTACTATATAAAACCATACAAAAAATGCAATCTGATAATTTCTTCAACATTTTAGGGTACAGAGCTGGATTTGCCCTCTCAATGTGTGTTATCAAAACATAAGCTAGTATCCTTAAATAAAAGCAAGTAGAAAAAATAGCTGTTAGAGTGAAAGTATGCACTTTAATTTTACACGCACACACACACACACACAATTTCCTTTTTTTAACTGAGTCTCTTTCAGATCAATGACAAACTGTTCCAACTACTGGTGGCAAACATGTTTATCTGGTTTCTCATTTAATTCCACCAGAAGTGTTTTTCTATTGATTAAAATAAATACTTGAAGACGGCACTATTTTCCAGGCTTTTTGAGTTCATTTTTCTAGAATAATTTAAGTCAGTCAAATTGTGTTGGAGAACAGATTAAACAAACACACAAAATAACAACACAATATTAAGCTTGTTTTCTTTTTTCACCCATCTCTTCTCCTACAGCAGATTTTCTATTTGACAGTAGCTGAAATACCTACACAAAGCTGCTTTCCTGAAGGAGACCCAATTCCAACATGTTTATGCACAGTAAACGGTGGCATCTTTATGATTGTAATTTATTTTCAAAAAGAGCTCTTCAGCAAGATAAAATAATCCATTTCCACACTGGCACACTAAACTGCTACCCTAACTCATTGGACATAGACTCTCCAGTGCTGCTCGCTATTCATCCTGTTTGTCTAAACTGCTATAGGCTAATATATTCGCTTTCAGATATTGACATAAGATAGTGACATTTACAGTACAAAGAACTTACAAAAGTTGTTTTTGAGTGGAATACTGTTTAAGACTGTTCAATTAAGGATAGGATAACATCTCAGATCAGTTCATTAAAGTGAGTGTTCAAAGGAGAGACAATAACTTATTATTTATTTCTTGATTATTATAGATTTTTTTCTAACAGCACTTGTCCCAATACTATTTGGGAATCTAAAGTTTTTATATCTTAGGGTATCTTGACTTGCTTTCTATGTACTATGAAATGGTTTACTCTAGAGACAGGCAGACAGTGTAATGATTACATCACTGGACTCCCACGTAGTCAACTGCGGTTCGAGTCCTGGACTGGGTGGCTCAGAACTCAAGACGGGATGTGCATGTTTGCTGAAAATCCCGAGGAGAAAAAAGAAAAAAGGGGGGGGGTTACTCTAATCCTTTTGTTTGTCCTTGATAGTACCACTGTGTGAAACATAACACATTATCAATTTATTGGGTCGTTGGAAAAGTCATGATGCAAGCATGACTTTTCCAACGACCCAATAAAAGGGAATCTTCTGGAGGACACTAAAATAAAGCAAGAAAGCAAGAGATGAAAATCAAGACAATCAAGTCAGCTGTTTAGGTGACCTATTTAAATAACCATTACAGGTTGCTGACTTTGAAGAAATTAAAAACAGCATTTCTATCTAATTTTTTGTCATTCTTGTGAATGGGCCAATTAAATTTAATATTTCATCTATATTTTATGAGAGGTCCTCTTGCTAAGAATAGCAAGGAATTCTATAACTATTAGACATTAATTTGGACAAATGATTCCACGATGAGATTCAGTAACAAGGAAACACTTAAGTCATTTTTTAGATTAATACAGTTCATAAAATTAGTGAATGGCAAAAGCATGTCCCTAGACATTGCATAAATTATTACTTAAAATATGAGCAAAAAATTATAAAGTATATAAAAGGAAAAAAATTTTTTAAAGAATTATTTACTTTTATTTATTCACTCATTTATTTCAATTTGATCAGAGAGAACAGAGACAGAGAGAGAAAGTGAGAGAGCAAGCCACCAGGTCCAGGACTTGAACCGTGGTTGGCCATGCGGGAGTTTTCCAGCACCTTAACCACCACACCACTTGCTGGCCCCAGAAAAAATTATTTTTAAATATTCAGGAATGATCATTCAGGTAAGGGGCTAAAAAGACGAAATGGTGGTGGTGGTGTGGAGAACCAGGCAATAAGACACAGATTACAATCAAAATCTTAACTTTTGTTTTGGGTAGTGGACTCACAGGCATTTACTACATTAGTAAAAATAACCGTAAAACTAAAAAGCAGTCCACGTATGGACCAAAAATGAAAATATATCACAGACCAAGATCCAAATTGAAATAATTTTGAAAGAAAAAATGAGTTACAGTTGTAAATTTTACCAAAAAAAAAAAAAAAACAAAAAACCCAGCAAAACTGGCTAATGGGGTTTGCCCCCCAAATTAAATATGCTAATTTGTTCTGAAATAAGTAGTTTAAAAGTTGGCAGTTTTGCTCTAAGTCTCACCCTGAATTTTCATATTTGCACAGATTTAACTCAAAATGAAACCAGGGTGTGGGAACTGTCCCACACCACATCCACCTCAATTCAGATGATTCGTACCAAGTTCAATGAAGCTTATGTAAACTGAAAAAAATGATTTGGGCAGAGCTCAGGTCTCATTTCTACTTTATAATAGTTCCTTACACATCAAAAATTGGTCTTGTTTCTACTGTATCAGCAATAATAAAAACAAATGACATATACAATGTACTAGATACTGTTTCAAGGCTTTGCATTTAATAACTCATTTAATTCTTTCAACAACCTCCAGGAATAGGTGCTATCACCCAAAGGTGCTAGAAAATATCCTTCGAGTTTGCATCTATTTAAGAGAATATTACTTGTAGGTGTTCTGGCTCCATACTCTCTATGCTATGCTACTCTTTGTACAGTATTTTAGTGCTGACATTCTATAAACCAGTTTGAGACATCTGTATGATCTGACATGATATATTTTTCCTTGATTATGTAATTAATCAAATCTTTTTCTGTCATGGGTCTGGGTGCAAGCCATCAAAATGTCTCTCTGGATGTTGCATGAAACACGAAACGCACTTTCTAGCTATCTCAATAATGCATTCACCATATAATCAGATATGTATTTCAGCTAAAAATATATCAATATCCTAACTTCACTTGTTTAAGCAAACTTCATTACCAAACATCTTTCTTGACCTTATTTTTGGAGTTATAATCTGGATAAAAATATACTTACTCTTGTATTATATCATTACCTCATTGATAAGCTAGAAAAGGAGAATTATAAAAGTATTTCCCACACATTTTCTTTAACCAAACTATTCTTTCAAAATCAGATTCCACGAGAAAACAGTCTAAGGAACTTGGAGTAGGTCACATGTCTATATCCTGGCCCAGAAAGAGCAGGGTACTTGGACTCACAGTCACCGTAGCTGACACAATAGGAGAAAGTTCTCTATAGAAAAAATGGAAGGGGTATCAGGGAGGCAAACAAAACAAAAGGTGTCTTCTACATTGTCACAAAACAAAAACAACATTTCAGTTATCTAAGCTCTTTTTCTTTTTTTTAAATCATATTTGACACTGCTGATATATTGGCTTAGGCTTTTTTGAAATCACTC